AGCAAAATTTGGCCTGCAACACCACTTTTTGCAAAGCCATAGATATGTTTCATAAGATAAGAGCAAGCCATGGACTTCAACCCAAAAAAGTGAGGATCTATTACTTCATGCAAACGGCGCCGAAAAGGTTTGTTTGCGTAAATGGTCAATTTTCTGAGATATCACTTGATCATTTGAGAAGATTTTTGCATAGAGTTGTAGCTCACGGTGATTGTCGTCTTTGTTGCGACTACCAAACCATGAGATATATAAAAACCGATGGAAGTTTGATTTGTCCATCAACAAAAAGGTTTCATCCACGCGAAGTCACCGCTCTCAAATGTAAAGCTTTAGGAATGAGAAGCTGTTTACAACATAGTCAGCATTGCGCGGTGAGTTTCAATTCGAGTCTCAGTGCCTTCATTGTGCGAGAATGAGTAAGGCACGTGAGTAAACCAGTGCGAGCCTCTGCGAAGCAGAGGTGACGCACTGGTCTAAAATAAACGGTAGGCAAAAAGAAATCTTTTGATACTTGGAATTTGCCCGTCCAGAACGTCGATATTTATGGAACTTATGTAACTTTCAATTGTTTGGGCAATTTGCACTTCAAATGAGGTTAAAAAACAATTTGACTGTTTCTGTTCAACACTTTGTATCTTCCAAATGTATCGAAGTGGATTTTCGTATATGCTGAACATATAATTGTTAAAAAGCGTGTAACTTACTAGTCAAACTACTAGTCATAGTCAAACTTAATCGAGTGAATTCATTAAAACTAACTAAAATCATAAGTTTTCAAGTTCTGGCTATTGAGCAAACTTCTGAAAGACTTACTGATGAAAACTGGAGAGATCCATGCCAACTTCCGAGTACTGGTATTCTTTTCCACTTTCGTCTTTTCGATTAATTATTGGAGATCCAGCCACATAAACTTTTACTCTTTTTTGCTTATTCTCAAGGTCTCATTGATCAACTGACTGGCAGCTGTCGGACGTCAAGAAGGAAACCATTATAGCTCCAACCTCCAAACTTTAGCTCGCAATTTTGAGAGTCATAGGGAAAGTATTCAATGTTGATGTAACAAACAGATTTATAGATGCTCGGCGGTTTCCACACTATCAGACCATTATAGTAGACTAGGGCATCACTCATGATGCTGATGTGAGGCTCTCCGTCGGCGCTGAAAAAAAGTAATTTGTTTCTTGGAATGATCAATTTCATGGAAGTTGCTGAGAATCTTTTTTGATAACTCCGAAACTTGCTCTAAAATATCAAATAAAATTTTTTAGCATTTTGCTTGCTGATTTTAGTGTACTCGTAGAAGATTTCAATAACCAAACAGTTCTTGAATATCAATTAGTTAGCATGTAGCGTCTAAAAAATTGACGAGCGAAGCTACGAATTTCAGCCAAATAATTAATCACCATTTATAGCGCGACTACTCCTACTTTGTAACAGCTCTAGCAGTGGTGATAAATGAAATAAACAATAAATTTCCCAAAACAGGAAACCCACTAATTGTAAAGTAGAATGTCTGGTATCCATATTTGGTCCGAAGGTATGTGCAGTTTCCTTATTCCACCCCATCTTGCTGGATCCCAAGTCAATTTGTAATCAAACCATTGCATTTCCAGCCACAAATTAGTCGTCAAAACTTGGTTTACCTCATCCTGAATCATATAATTTTTTGAAGAAATTCGAATATCTAGTCTACACAGCTCGAAATGAATAATGTATTCCAATAAACCTACCACATCAATGATACGTATAAGAGATGCGCCAAATT